GGGTTTCTAGCGGGTGTTGCTGCCAACTCAAGAAGTATTGAGAGAATGGATCCTAACAACTGAGACATATAGCTTAACCTCCCCAGAACCATGCCCGAAAGTTGGATCTCATGGGAAATAACCATGTCATAAGTCCCGTGCCTCCTTGAGCGGAATTCTGGACTAACTCTGAGTCCTTCTGCATCTGCACCTGTGTCCCTTCCTTCCCTGGGTCCTTGGGGGACATTCGATATCCTGTAATGAACCTCTGCGGTAAAGGTTTTTGTTCTAAACTCAGTGAGGACAATCCAGAATGGAATTCTCTATTCTAGAAGTTCTGGTGGTTTGTATCTTTTGTTAAGTGGGGATCAAAAGCTAGGAGTAAACAGAATATGTATTTTTTAGTTTAGATACCTTTAGATACCTGTTACCCTCTGCAACTTTTAAGTCAATCCTAGGATCATCAAAGGAGTTAATTCAAGTGAGACCATTTCTAAAAATATAAAGCCCTATGTAAATGGAAAGTGTGGCTGCTAACGTGATTTCCCTCCTAGGACCCTAAGATCCATGGAGTAGGTCTCCAAGAACCTGAGTGCTCAAGATCACTGTGTGTGCATATGTGTGTTTGCATCTGTGTGTGTGCATGTGTGCATCTGTGCGTGTACATGTGTGGGCCCCTGTGTGGCACATGCTGGAGGCAGAGGGGGCGAGACAGGCAGTAGAGGGAGGTGCTCCCTGGGCTGGGGGTTTGCAGTCTGAGGGCCTGGGTTCAGATCCCAGCTCCAGCTCTTCCTAACTGGGACCGTCTATCCTTCCACGCGGCAGAGCCTGGCCAGCTTCTCTTGGCGGTGTTGGGGGAGGAAGGTGGGGTCATACCCCAGTAGAATGTGTGGTTTCATAGCGGCTGAAATGGAAGCCAGAATCCAAACCATTGGGCACCCTTGCTGAGCACCTCTACCATCCTGCCCTATGGGTACCTGCCCCGTGGGGTACCTGCCCCATGGGTTCCAGCCTCAGGGGGCACCTGCCCCACGGGGTACCTGCCTCATGGGGTTGCTCCACAATGACTGTCCCAGGGCCACAGCCAGGGTGCAGGTGGGCTGCAGAGGGCCTGATCCAGATCCGCACCCCACTCCAACCACCTCCTTAGAAAGCTGGCCGTCCACTGTGGCGTGCCCCAGGGCCAGGAGGAGGCCTCTAGCCACACCCATCATCGTTGGTGTTAAGGGAACCAAAGGTGTGTGAGCCGCACCAGCATGCCGCATTCTTGCCAGAGAGCCTAACTGGTGCTCGGTGCGGGGGAGGGCCGACACCAAGTCCCATGAGTAAGGGCAGGAGCCAGCATTCAGTCCCGGGGATCTGGCCCCAGGGCCTGGGCTTCTTACCCCTGAGTTACACCAACAAGCACCCCTGGGGCCCTGCGCTGCCGGCTGCAGTGGTAAGATGAAGAGCCCAGGCCTGACCTTAGGGAGGCTGGGAGCGGGGCAGCCCTGTGAACAGAGAACCCCCTACAGAGCGACAGCTGACGGGAAAATGGCCTGGCCCTCTTATTCGTCAAAGCAGCTCATCAAGGCCGTGTTGCTTTCCATCGCCTGATCAAATGTTTGTCCTCTGCCCAGATGGCTGAAGTCAAAGGCTCTGAATTGCTATTTTTCAAAGGATCTGTAATTGCCCAGAGTGTGAGGTGCAGTGTTTAAAGGGGCAGAGCCTCCAGTGGCTGCGTGAAGGGCATCCGTGCTTTCCTCTGGCAAAGGTTAAGTCCGTGAGTCCTTGTTAGCGTGTTTCCAGACCACAGGAGAGATATGAGGCAAATTAATGAAGACAAACGTTATTTGGGTTTAGAGATTTAGCCAACTCTTTTATCATTATGTCAAGTTTTAATTAGGGGAGAAAAGTCTGTAGGAAACAATTTTCACGTCTTAAAAGTTTTGAGCGTGTTGCCAGCCCCTGTCCAGACGAGGCTGTAATTTGTTGTTGTCTCCACCCCCACGGAGCAGCCGTATTTATAAAGCTTTTAGCCTGGAGATACCCTGTCCCTTCTTGTTCCTTCTCCCGAGGCTGGCAGCGGATGGCAGAACTAATACCATCATTTTAACACGGAAACAACTTGAGCGGGATGATTGCAGCATCGCACGGTGTCCTAGTTTTGTTAAAGTATTCCTGTGGGCGGTGGGTGGAGAAGCAGCTGGAGAGACAGACGCCCCGGGTCCCTGCCCTGGCAAGGGAGGAGACTCGGAGCCCCTTCTGGTGGGCAGGGGGTGGCCCCTCTTCAGCTGCAGACAGGGGTGGGCTCGGCCTGGTGTTCCGTGTCCTCTGTCTGTTGCTAAAGCCGTTTGTCCCCCTGAACACACAGCACGTCCGGCATTTGGCTCCATGCTAATAAAAGGGAAGTTTCAGGAGACCCACCTAAAACCAGGCCTTCGACAGAGCCTGGCCAGGAAATTGCTCCCCACAGACACGCAGCGGGGTGGTTGTGCAGAGGCAGAGGCTCAGCCCCCCTCCTGGCACCTGGATTCATCCAGACCAGGCACCCAGGGGGCCTGAGGCTCTGCAAACGCCCAAACATTGAAGACGAGGTTCCAAGCGTTTTTGCGTCCATGCACATTTCCAAGGAAGGGCTCCGTGGCCTTAGTCAATTTCTCAAAGGGGTCTGTGACCCCAAAACAGTTAAGAACCACTGATGAGAACCTTTGGTCCTTTTTGCGGCATTACCAGACTGGTTCTTAGTAGTGTTTGATTTCTTATCGCAGGTACTTTCTAGCCAGCGTGGGAAAAATGACCTGACCACTAGGTAGCCCTGGCCTGACGCAGAGTCCGGAGGTGACCTGGTTGTGCCTTTCTTTCCAGCAGGCACAAACCCAGGTTTCTCTGGGTTGGAACATGCAAGCAATGCTGAGGGCGTTATCAGATTATTTCACTGATTTGTAGGGGAAAAACAAGCGGAACTTTCTGTTCCCTTTCTAGCACAGTCATATTAAAGCCTACTGGATTTGTCCACTGTTGTTTTTCGGATGAGGAGAAAGGCCACTGTCCGTGTTCTGTGCTGTCTCGGAAACGAGGCACAAGCAGACTCGGTGTCCTGTGACCCTGTGCCCCGGGCACATGTGTTATCTCATTTCATCACCATGGTGACCCCCGTGAGAGAGGCAGCATCGCGAGCCCCTTCTACAGGTGGGCACACTGAGGCATCAAGCAGACCGTTCTGTGACATGCCCAGGGCGTACAACCAGGAAGGTCAAAGCAGGATTTGAGCTCTGGCTTCAGAGCCTCTGCCCGATCCGCTCCCCTCCCCAGCAGAGAAGCCAGCTGCTGTCGTGTCCTCACTCAGGGAGCTATCCCAACACTCCCTGTGGGAGCAGTGGGCCAGCAGCTGGACTGGTTTTAATTGGAAATTTGAAAAGAAAGCTGGGCAGGTTAGAACTACCTTAAATTAGACACATTAAACTGTTTTCAAACTGCTAACAAGTCTATTATATCCACTTCCCCTGCCAAAGACCGCCTGTGACGCGGGCAGCATCCAGGGGTCTTATAACCAGGGAAACCAAGGCTGCAGAGCGTCAGAGTGGGCCTGCGTCAGAGGGGAGTGGGTCAGGCTCAGGCCCCACGCTACCTTCCCAGGGGGCCAGGTGGGTAGAGAAACTAAGGACACAGCGTCCACTGAAGTTAGAAGAGGGGCAGCCCCAGGGAAATGCAGGGGGGTCCCTGGGGAAGGAGGCTGGGGTTTACGCACTGTCTCTCTCGAAGCTCTCTGACTTCCCACAGCAGAGAAGTGTGTCGCACCCCGGGCTGGTCCCCAGAGGAGCAGCCCATCAACCAGGATCCCATAAGGGAAGTGGAGTCCGACCCCAGATGAGTTGGGGCCGCAACTTCGGCCAGGACACCCACCCTGCACTTGTCAGCTTCACCGTCTGGGCAGATCACATCCTGTGTCACCCGTAAATGGGGTGGGGGGGGGTGGGGAGCGTGCTCTCGGAGCCACCTGCCTGGGTGGATCCCAGCTCCTTGGCGCCTGGGCAGACCCAGTGTGCTCTTCGGTAAAATGGGAATATCAGGAAAAGGAAGGCGCCTGCCCCACAGAGCTGTCGGGGGCTCGGTGACAGGATGCTTGAGGACTACCTGACCTGCTGCTGCCCCGCAGACTCCCAGCTGGCCTGTGCCAGGACAGATGGGTGTGCCAGTCCTCAGTAAGGCACTGCCACCCTCCATGTCCTCCAAAGAATGTTAATGACGGCCCTCGGCCCATCCACGTGGACCCTGGGATGCGCCGCATCCAGCAGGCACCTTCATGGGCCCGTGATGGAGCCCTGGGCAGCCCGTGCAGCTGTGGCTGCTGGGCCTGATCAGGACGTGCGCTGCCAGGGTGTCTGGATCTCGCCCTCCCGAGTGGCCCTGGCTGCGGCTCACAACAGAGGCTGGGGCTCGTCCTGGTGCAGGAACCGGCACCCCACAATGGAGCTCTCGTCTCCCCCACATTCCTACCACAGAGAGACAGATCTGAGGGCCATGAGGCCCAGGTGATGTGGAAATAGCTTCTCATGTTCTGCTCCTCAGAGAGAGGGAGTAAAGATACCCAAAACTGCAAACGTGACACTCTGAAGAAATGGAAAGAGAAGCTTCTTATGAGAGGATGCCCCGTGGCCGGTACCCCAAGCAAGGCCTCAGCGAATCTTGCTCCAGCCCATGAAACACAATGGCGTCCATTCCATCATTCTCTCTCTGGAGTGGCTCTCCAGGCCTGCGTGGTCCCCAGCATGGCCTGTCCCAGCAACGTGGCCGTGCCCTGCTGTGTGTGTGTGTGGGCGGCGGGGGTGGGGGGGTGGAGGTGGGCAGATGGCCCTTTATCACCGGTCAGGGGAGCAGCAGGCCTCTCTCCAAAGGTCCCCTTTGCCTTCAGAGCCTCAAAAGATGCATTGGCTGGGGTGGGGGGTTCAGGGGCTGGCATGGGGAACAGTGGGGGGCCTGAGCCTGGCTGACGGGTCCTGCCCTGGCCACTGAGAACTCACACCATGCTTGTTTTTCAGGAACCTGGGCAAGTCGGGCCTGCGGGTCTCCTGCCTGGGGCTCGGTGAGTGTGGGGTTCCCTTGGTCCAGCGCCACCCAAGGAAGCAGGGGCTGTGGGAGGGCTGGGTGGGGGCTGAAGGGAACTACTCCTCAGAGGGGGCTGCACCCTGAGCCAGGATGGTGGGCAGGCAGGGCTTGGTTGCCATGGCAACCACAAGGAGTGGGGTTCTAAGAGAAGGAGGAGGACAGAGATACAGACTTAGCAGGGGGAGGCGGGGCAAGAACCAGGGGCCCTTTGCACACACAGCCCCCTGCCCCACACCAAAAAATCAGAGAAGCACCCTGACTCTGGGTGAGCCGGGCGGACAGCCTCTTTCGTTACGTGGCAGAATCCTTCCTGAAAGGCAGTCACATTTTGTCCTTTTTCCTCTTTCCCAAAATGTGAGCTCCGTTCCCAAATCATGGTGTCCCTCCACCTCCATGGTGCACACGATACCTCCCCCCCGACACACACACACACACACACACACACACACACACACACACTGCCCAGCAAGAGTGAGCACGTGGCTGTCAGACCCTGTCCATCTTCAGGGAGCCGTCTCTCATCCCTCTCCCTGCGGCGTGTCCTTGGAAGAGGAGCTGCATCACCTCCAGCACCAACGAGCATTTCGAAGGCCTGCAGCCAGCTGCCTGCTCTGGGCACTTACTGTCCCCTCGGTTTGGTGGCCCCAGGAGAGGGAGACTTGCCCTGAAGGCCAGGTGTCCACACATGCTGAGGACATGCTCACTGCAGAGCAGAGTGGCATGGTAGCCGGAGGTCCCAGCACCCCAGGGGGAGAGTTGGGGAGTTTCTCTGACTTGGGGAGTTTCTCTGACTTGAGCCTGTGTGTCTCCTTTCAGGAACATGGGTGACCTTCGGAGGCCAGATCACCGATGAGGTAAGACAGGGCTCCCTCGGCCCCCCGAGGCCCCAACCAGGGCTGCCCTCGCGGTCAAGTCTACTAAATGCATGAGTGAGCCTGTGCTCAGGCAGCCGCTGTGGCTCCCATCTTTCTGTTTCTCCCAGCCTGTGGGAAGGCGGGAAGGATGAGCCATGGCACTTGGCAGCTGGGCACCTTGGGGCTTCAGCAAGTCCCCTAAAGTCCCAGAAACTCAGGTTCCTCATCTGCAGTTAGCCAGGAAAATTCAGGCACCTCGCATTTTCCAAATTATACAGCCTGATACAAATCTCAGCCGCTCCTACAGAGTATTCCCACCTGAACTTGAAACTTCAGGAAATATCTGTTTAGGTCATTCAGAATGCAAATTTTGCGAATTCTGCTGCAGGCTCAAGACTGACTAGATTTGCATTTTCCAGCCCCTCACTGCTCCTCGCCCAGAGCTGTCGTTAACTGTGTTATCCAATGGACTTGCTCCGGCTTCTCTCTTCACAACTGGGACGCAGCACGGGCAGCGTCTCCGGATCTGTCCTGGAGGGGTGGATGCGTTCCCAGGCTGGTGTGCACTTCTGGGCAGTGAGTGGATATCTTGGAAATGAGAATAGTGGCATTTGCACAGAGAGCCCTGGACGTCAGCACGAGAAGCTGTCTTCACAGCCACCCTACTTACTGTTGCGAAGGTTGCGTTTAAAAATTAATGAGTTCATTTGAAACCTTGCTAGCTGTGATTGCTCAGTTAGTTTTCATAGGAAAAGCTTTGCTACCATCAAAATCCAAATGCATTTCATTTGTGTTTTTGTTCCTTTTTCTTTTATGACAGTAGCAAGTACTAGAACTCTTAGCCCTCGCTTTGAGGTTCTGAGTCTGGGCTATCTCAGGGTGAAGTCAGGAGTTTATAAGGCGCAGGGGATTGTTTGACCTGTGGCCACCAGGTTGATGCTGAGAACTTAGAATAGAGCCCCGGGGCCCACGTGGTTCACCCTGAATAAGTTGTGTCTGACTCACCTTATTTCCCTTTCGAGGTGGTTACTAACTTAGTAGATGAAAGAATTCTCTGGAAGGGTGTGACTTCACTTCCAAACAGCATCAGCTATATGCGTGTGATATCCTTGTGGGAAAGATATAGAGAAGTGACCGGATGGTAACCATCCAATTAGGTGACTTTTTCACCAACAGGTTAATCACACCCAAAGAGTATTGATTAATGATCTGGTGCAGCCCCAGCTGGCTCCAGCCTCTGCTGTGTCTCCATCAGGGACGTAGTGACACGTATGAAGATATTGGAAGTCGTTTCCAGATGACACAAAGCTGGGAGGATATCGGATACAATAGATGACAGATTCAGGGTTCCAAAAGATCCTGGCAAGCAAAAATGATTGAGCAGAGGAGCAAGCAGAATTTTCGTATTAAATCCTACAGTTAGTATCCAAAAAAATCAATACGTCAAGTATGAGGGGCCCACCTCGCCACGGTTCAGATGAAGAATGCCTGGGTTTTATTCTTTAGCTGGCTGCCTGCTCGGTCTGAGCCAGAGGGGTAGACAGCCACAAGGAATCGAGGACCATCCTGTGCTCCAACAGGACCGCGTGTTCTGCCCAAACCCAGGGCGGCCACGGGCCCACCGGGCATTCCAGATGGGTGCCCGTCTGGAACACCATGTTCCTTGCTAAGCCCCTGTGAAGGAAGGCACTTTGCTTGCCCAGGAATCCAGAAACAGTCCTGTTTTTAGAGTTACCTCTTGTGTGCGAGACACCAGGCCCAGGAGCCAGGAGATACGGAGTTGACAAACTGGTGGATTGACTTTGGCAAAGGGGCGTTCCAGGGCAGGACTCCAAACATGTCAGCAAATGATGGCCCACAGGCCAAATCTGGCCCCTGGCCTATTTTCTTTTCTTTTTTGTTAAGTATATGAAACATAAAATTTGCCATTTCCATCTCTTTTTATTGTGGTTAAAATATGCATAAAAAATTTACCATGTGGACCATTTTTAAGTGTACAGTTCAGTGGCATTAAGTATATTCATTTTGCTGTGCGACTATCACCATTGTCTATTTCCAGAATTTTTCATCACCCCGAACAGAGACTCTGTACCCATTAAGCAATAATTCCTCAGCCCCGGGTGACCTCTAATCTACTCTCTGTCTTTATGAATCCTGTTTTTGTAAATAAAGTTTTATTGGCAGGCAGCCAGGCCCATTCATTTGCCTGTTGTCTGTGGCTGCTTTCACATGACAAGGGCAGGGTTGAGTAGTTGCCACAGAGACCATCTGGCCCGCAAAGCCTAAACTATTTACTCTCCAGCCCTTTACAGGGAAGGTCTGCCGCCCCCATGCTATGGGGTCGCATCAGCTGTCTGCAGGTATCTTCAGGGCTGTCGTCTCAGGGAGGGAGGCCTTCACGGGCCGTCAGAGTGTGGCCAGCTGATGGACAGTGTTAGTAAACCTCAGATCCCGTGGCCAAGTTTCGGAGCTGCCCTGGTCAGAGTCAGGTTTCCAAGTTCTAGTTCAGTGCCCTTTCTCTGACCTCCCATGGCTGCTGTAGAAAACTGCCCCTCAGAGCCTGTGTTCAAAGCAGCCTCGGCAATAAAATTTAATAAGAATAGTGGCTAAGAACTTTACATTTATTATGGCACTTGCTCCTCCATCAACCCAGGGAGGGAGGTGTCGTCATCTCCATTTCAAGGAAGTGGAGCCCCAGAGACTGAGCAGCTGCCGGAGGTCACACCTGGAGAGTGGGGAAGGGGGAGCCCACCTGGGGTCTCGCCTCAGAGCCTGCGGCCGCCTCTCAGCTCTGGGGAAACATGCTGGGGCAGGAGGGATTCCCCATCCCCAGATGGGGGTGACAGGGAGGTGACCCACGTGTCTCCTGAGGTTCCTTCTGCCTCCACTTTCTGGGACTAGGACATTGGAAATAACCGGAGTCACCAAATAGAGGCTCTGTTCCATAAAGTAGGATGCGCCCACAGAGCAGAAGTCTTTAGAAGTCACATTCTGAAGCATGACATGGCGACAGGCCCATGAGAGAGCACATGGAAAACACAGCAGATAGAGGGTCTGTACGTCCGAGTTGCAGTTTTGTGGGGAAAAAGCATATATTCACATAGAAAAACCTGGAAGAAGAATTACACCAAAATCATAGCAGTTGAAAAATAAGAAAGCACAATCCTGGAAATTCCCAGATTCCCTCATCCTCTTTCTGTCTCTGGTCATCCACGGGCTGTCCTGGGTGTAAGTAGGATCAAGTTTATGTCTTTCCTTCCGCTAAGGGGCAGGGGAAATGAGGATGGGTGTCTCCGTGTCAGAGCCGGCTGGCCTCCCTGCTTGGTGAGCCTTGCGGGTCGGCCAGGCTGCAGAGGTGCCTGCTCGTGGCTGTCACGCTCTAGAGTCCAGACCATGAGGCCTTTGATCTTCATCAGCGAACGGGAGGAGGAGTTCTCCCTGGGGTGGGCAGAACAGAGTGAGGAGTAGCCGGGGTAGTGAGGAGGTGGAGGAGGGGCCGGTCTGGGGGCCACCGAGCCCCTGGAGGACGGTCTCCGTCCAACTCATGCCTGCTGAGCACCTGTGAATGCCAAGTCCCTGCCCCGGGGCTGCGCTCCTCCTGGGAGGGAGACAGACAGACAGTTCATCCCTGAGGGGTAAACACGGGATGGCAGAGGGTGTGTTGGTTTCCTGGGGCCTCTGTGATGAACTTCCATCAACTGCGTGGTTTCAGAACAACAGAAATTTCTTTCTTCTCTCACAGTTCTGGAGTGAGAAGTCCAAAATCAGTATCACTGGGCCGAAATCCAGGTGTCAGCAGGGCCACAGTCCCAGTGGGGGCTCTAGGGCAGGGTTCTTCCTCGCCTCCTCTGCTTCGGGTGGCTGCTGCAGTCAGCCTGTGGTACCCTCACTCCAGCCTCTGCCTCTCTGGTCACATTCCCTTCTCTGGGTCACATTTCCCTCTGCCTCCCTCTTACAAGGACATCTGTGATGGCATTTAGGGCCCACCTAGATCATCCAGGATAATCTCCCCATCTCGAGACCCTTAATTTAATCACATCTGCAAAGACCCTTTCTCTGCCTAAAGTAATATTCACAGGTTCCGGGGACCTGATATCTTTGGGGAGCCATTATTTATCAACCACAGAGAAAGGAGGACTGGGGTGCGGGCTCCTGGTTTATGCAAGACGACTTGGAAGGTGGAAGTGAGAGAGTGAGCCACATGGGGATCCGAAGAAAGAGCATTCCAGCCCACAGGGGCAGGAGTGTGTGCCTGGCCTGCATGAGGCCACAGCAGAGGTGGGGGATGTTAAGAGATGGGGTCAGAGGTGAGGCCGCGGATCTGATGGGGACTTTGGCTTTGGCCATCTGTGGCATAGAAGCCACTGGAGGATTTTAGCAAAGAGGAAATTTGATCTGACTTAACTGGCTACTGCACTGAGGATGCCAGTCTGTGGGGTGCTTCTCAGATTGTGATGTGTGCATGAATCCCTCTTGGGGATCTGCTTAAAATGCAGATTCTAATGTGGCCAGTCTCGAGTGGAGCCTGGGATTCTGCATTTCTGATGCTGATGCTGCTGGTCCATGGACCACACTTTGCTAGCCAGAGTGTCAGGGGCATGGACAGAGGCGGAGTTAGGGGGCTACTGTAAAAACCCAGCTGAGGGATGCTCCGGCTTCAACCAGGTGGGCACGGTGGAGGTGGGCAGGAGCTGTCAGATTCTGGATTAGTTTGCAAGGGGGAGCTGACAGCCTCGGCTGACGATTTGGATGCTGGAGTGAGAGACAGATGAGTGAAGGAGGACGCCCAGGTGTTTGACCTAAGTGCAGGATGGGCAAGACCACAGGTGCAGCGGGTACGCAGGCTGCCCTTCTCAGCACACACCACCCCCTCTGCCTGCAATGCCCCCTCCTCCACCCACTCTCCCACTGCCGGCCTGACAAACTCCTAACCACCTTCAAAGCCCAGCCCTGTAAATCCTGTCGCATGCTACAGCGTGGATGCACCTTGAGGGCATCGTGCTAAGAGAAATAAGTAAGCCTGTTACAGAAGGACAAATACTGTATGATTCCACTCAGGTGAGGTACTTAGAGGAGTCACATTCATAGAGAGAGAAAGTAGAATGCTGGGTGCCAGGGGTTGGGGAGGGGAGATAGTGTTTAATGGGGACAGAGTTTGAGTTTGGGGACATGAAAAAATTCTGGAGATGGATAGTGGTGATGGTTGCACAACAAAGTGAATGTACTTGATGCCACTGAATTGCACACTTAAAAATGGTTAAAATGGTAAATTTTATGTTATGTATATTTTACCACAATTTTTAATTTTTTTAAAGTAAATTAAAAAAAAAAGGCGAAAAAATGAAGATCTCCATGAACTGATGTGGATTGATTTCCAGGATGTACTGTGAGTGAAAGGCACAGTGCAGAAGGTGCCCTACCCTGCATGTAGGAAAGATGGGGTATAAGAAATATGCGTGTCTGAAATGTGAAGATAAAAGCCGTGGTCCTGAGTCGCCTCAGCTCAGGACCCTCCTCAGGAGGCAGCATGCACCCTGAAATCATCTGTCTTACCCCGTGGGGGCCCTGCACATGGCGCACTCCTAGGCAGAGCACAGGCGGCATGGTGGACACATCCAAGAGAAGTCAGGCTGCAGACTAGGGTGAACCTGGGGAGGAGCCTTGTGTGCCTGGAGCACCGGAGAGGAAGAAGAGCCCTGAGGTGGGGAGAGAGGCATGGGAGGAGGAGGCGGCTCAGAGAGGGGCGCATGGAGGCACTTGATACATTGTTACACTTGAGCTACAGGAGGGAGGAAAGGAGCCAATCAGCCCTGCAGATGGATCCAGAAAACTCCACCAATGGCCTTACCTTACCTGGGCTTTCTGACTCAGAGGACAGCAGCTGACTAATGGGGTTAGCTTTTGCCTGCTCAGTATCTGAAATCTTTGGGGTTCGTTGCCAACACTTGAAAATCAGATTTTACCCCCTGCCAAATATCCTGGGTTTCTGGCTTCTCTTGAAAAATCAAGGGCTCTGGTCGCACCCAGCCACCTTCCCACAGACAGCGACCAAGCCCCCGCCACCCCACTGATCCCTCCTGGCCACCAGCCTCACTCTCCATACCTGCCTGGCCAGTGAGGTTTCTGAGTTTGGTATGAGGAGAAGCTCCGAGAAGCCGCACCTGGATGGCTTTCCGTCCTACAGTTTTTGAGGGTTGTCAAGTATTAATCGCCTACCCTGGGCTAGCTGGGGAGGGAGGCTTGGTGCTCTGAGTTTCGAGAAGTAGCGGGTGGGGCAGTTTGCATCTGTGACGCTCAGAGGGACACCTGCACTGTCCAGAGGCCAGCAGAGTTCGGGAACTTCTTCTCTACTGCATCTTGGCAGCGACTGTCGATGGCAGGCAGGCTTCCCCTGCTCCTGATCCTCGCCCCCGCTACCAGTTGGGCACCATTCATCAACCCCTGCCTGCAAGGCCTGGGCCAAACGGCCAAGGCCGGAGTGCTGGGTGAAGATGCGCTTTCTCCATCTGCAGACAATAATAAAACTATCCTCCTGCCACTGCTGGGAAGGGTTCGGATCCTGCGGGACATGGTGTCACAGGACGTGGTCTACCCATAGCTTTAAAACAATATTTATTCTGCCAAGATCCATCGCGCTCCTGGTGCCGGCAGTGTTCGTTTCCCGGGGCTGCCATAACGAAGTCCCCCAAACTGAATGACTTAAAACAACAGAAGTTTATTCTCTCACAGTTCTGGAGGCCAGAAATCCAAAATCAAGGTGTCGGCAGGGCCACGCTCCCTCCAAGGCTCTCGGAGTGTCCGTTCCATCCCTCTTGCCCAGCTCTGCTGCTTGCGGGCAATCCTCGGCATTCCTTGGATTGTAGACACATCACCCCAATCTCTGCCTCCAGCTTTGCATGGCTCTTCCCTGTGTGTGTCTGTGTCCAGTGTTATAAGGACACCACTCGTATTGGATTTGGGGCCCACCCTAGTGTAGTCTGACCTCATCTTAAGTAATTACATCTGCAAAGACCCCATTTCCAAGTAAGGTCACATTCTGAGGTTCTGGGTGGACATGAATTTGGGGGGACTCTGTGCAACCCAGTACAGGTGCTAAGCCCCGTGATGACCCAACAGATGGGATCCCTGCTCGCAAGAAATTCACGGTCCATAGGCTGTTTCTTCATTCATTTTGTCCTCTTTCTTCTCTATGGGTCCATTACCGAGAACTGCCTCCATGTCTGTCCTGCGACAGTGCCACCTCCGAGCAGGCCCGGTTTTCTCGTTTCAGATGGCAGAGCAGCTAATGACCTTGGCCTACGACAATGGCATCAACCTCTTCGATACTGCAGAAGTCTACGCAGCTGGCAAGTACGTGTCTTTTCTCATGGGAAAAGTGGTGCAGGCCACGGCGTCCCTGGGAAGAGCCGGAGCTCCTGGTCCTCCTGGGCTCTTGTTCCCAAGAGGGTTCTCAAAGGTGCCTCCCACTCTGCCCACTTTTCTAAACTCCAAGTGGCTTTAGAAGGCATTGCTTTCATGGGGCCAGAATCACAGACCACTTGGACACTGGTCACTTGCTAAACTCCCTGTGTGTCCAAGCACCAAGGTGACCTCAGTCCCTGAGGTGCCAAAGATGCTGTGCTGGGCGAGAGCTGTGATTAAGCTGTCGTCCGGGGCTCTTCTGACGTGCCTGTGACCTGTGGCCAGCCCTACACGCCTGACATTTTTGCGTCTTAATGTGCAATTAGGGCTGCAGGGAAGACAGGGCCTCTTGGAGCTGGGGAGAGCAGAGCCTGGCAGCCGAGCCAGCGCTGTAGGAAGCACTTCCCATCTTGGCAGTGAACTTTCCTACTCAATTATGTAAAAGCCCTCTTCAGCCAAGGCTGCTGGCTTCAATTTTAAAGACTGGCTGTAATCAAATCATCCACTCTCCTGCATCGGGTTTCCAAAAGTCAGCTTTTGTTTGTGAAGTCATCTGTTGGCTCTCTGTTCGTCCTCCCTCTGGCCCCCTCCGGCCTGGTGCAAGCCAAGTTCCCATCAGCTGGACTGGCTTCAGCTTGGCCTGCTGAGCACCGTGGCTGCGGGGCCAGCACCTGTCTCACACGGCTCTGGGTCATTACCTGCAGCCTGGGATGGGGCCCAGAGAGTCAAGGAACCTAGCTGGACCTTTGCTCAAGGCCCGACCCAGGGTCTGAGGAGCTGACAGCCCCAGGGGCCTCCACTAGGACCCCCAGATCTCCTCCAGCAGCGCTCTGCCGCCACAATGCCGCAGCCCCCTCTCAACCTCTCCAAACTGGCAGCACCTTCCCATCAAAATGAAATTCTTTCCAGACAGATGAGCTAAGCCGAAGGGTCGGAGGTGGAAAAGCCCGAGGCAGATGCCAAGCCCACAGACGTCTCCCGTCCGGAGCACCCAGCCTGTTCCCTGGCCCTGCGCCTGCCTTGGTTTTGCGGCCCACAAGGGCGTGCAGGAGGCAGCTCCGTGCACCTTCCTCCAGCTTCAGATGGCCCAGTCCCTGTGTGCGGGCCTGGCACACTGTGTTTCACAGCAACCACACTCTGTGTCACTGTTGTCCCTTCCCCCTTATTAACTGGACACCCAGGGCTGGCATGCAGGGCAAGAACACTGGGTCCTGCCTCGCGGCCTCTCAGAAGCCACTTGCCAAAAGCCAAGAACTCAGGTAGCGGCTCCCCAGGGGTTGTGGCTGTTGTCCCTGGAGCCCGCTGCCCTCATCCTGCCCTCCACTCCTCCGCTGGCCTCTGTGGCTCCTTCCCTGTCCAGCCCAGAGCTGAACCTGCCTACTCACTCCCTAGCAATGCCTCGGTGCCAGCAGCCGCCCTCATAGGGAAGATGGGCACTGTGTGCCAAGGGACAGGCGAGGAGAAGTGGCTCTGGGCAAGGGCTGTGAAGCAGCTCCAGCGGGTGGTGGCCGGGCACTGTCCCTCTCGCTGCTCAGAGTGCCAAGCACGTAGCTCACTAAGTCCCTCTGCCTCTCATGCTGACACTAGTTTGGGCGCTTCCCAAAAAGCCGCAGGATTTCTCTGCCCCTCTGGACAGATGCCAGCCTTACCAAATTCACAGCCTCGAGAATTCACAGCCACAAGCAACAGGCTTTGGTTAACCGTCTACAGCTCCTACAACCCCAGCACCACTGCTTGCTTTTCTCTCTTCCTCCTTTCCTGACCCTTTGTCCCACAAATGAGGGACCAAGAAATGAAAGGAAGGGGCCCAGCGCTGAGTGAATTTCTGTGCATCTTGACTATAAATGAAGAGCATTCAGAATGTATGCTAAACAGCTTGCAAATTAGTGCCCATTATTTCTGAGTGGATTACTCAGGCGCTTTTATAATTGGAATGTAGCGCTGGGTATGGATCGTTCTCCGTCTGTTGTTTTTGCTCAGAAACATTTTGTTACAAGCAGAAAGTTCTTAAAAGTTAATCCAGCACTGCAGTGCCCAGCGAGGCAGGAGCAGCCCCGCCTGTGACCCCAGCTGGCCCGAGTTTGGTGCAGGGCCCACAGTGACGCCAAACAGAACAGACAGCAGTCAGCATGGCATCTGTCTATTGTTCAAAAGCAAGAAACAAGAGGGTCACACACACCCACACGCATGTACACACGCACGCACATACATACTCTGCTGGAAATTCAGCCCCTGGCCCTGAATACATATTGATTGTCTCTGAAAACAGAGGACGTAGTTGATGAATAATTTACCTTTTAAAAAACATACTTTTCTGGAAACTTCGCCCACGTACGTTGCCAAGCATTTTCCCTGGTGAATTTCCAGCAGACCAGGGAAACGGGACACTGCGGGCCTTGCCAAGAAAGACGTTGGCTCCTTCCTCCTCTGCGAGCACTGGAGCCACTGCTGCTCGGACAAGCGCCTGCAGTGGACAAGGGCCACCTTCACAGGGAAATAGCACAGCCACTCCCAGGCTCTCTCCTCTCTGGAGTGAGCTGTCCGAGCCAAGGTGGGCGTCAATAGCCTGGCTCTCTGGCCCCAGTGGCATTTTCACAGAGGGACCCGGTGGCCGACTGTCACGGTGGGGCAGGGTCGATGTTTCTGTTATGCTGTAGTGAAATCCCCACGTCTCGGTCTCTTTTGCAGGGCTGAAGTTGTGTTAGGAAACATCATCAAGAAGAAGGGCTGGAGGTAATTACTCTGCTCTCTCTGTGGTCCGTTCCCTGGGCACACTTAGGGAAGAGGGCTCTGTGAGAGGCAGATGTGCTCTGGGGTCCTGAATGGGGTGGGCAGGCCACCGGGGGCGAGCGTTGGCTCGGGTCCCATCGCCGTTCCCTCCTGTTTACCAGTGGAGGGCCCAAGGTTGGCTTCATTGGCCCTTGCACAGCCAGCCAGACTTTCTAGGGCCTGGAAGTCCCAGAATTCTTCTCAGTGGGGAGAGTGTCTCAGAATGGAGGCAGCCTGTGCTTCCTCCAGGGGAGTGAGCGCTCACACTGTGGGTAGCCGCCCCTGAGGAGCCGGGCACTGGGATGTGGTGAGGTGGGGACGCTTCCACAGAGTTGCCAAGAGGGTGCCACATTCAGTTCTCGAAGACAGGAGGCGACTCTGCTTGAGAGGGAAGTCTAGCGGAGGCCCTGGCCTCCCTAACTCTGCCCCCTCCGCCTCTGACCCAGCTTGTCTGTCCACTGATGGCGGGATTCAGAGGGCCAGGGGCCTGGGTTGCAAAGCTGACTTGGGTTTGGACAAAAAGAGGTGGACGTGAGAACTTCCCGGATGGCGCGGGTGCGGCCACGGATGCTGCTGCAGGAGGGGGGCTGGAATTGCACCTGCTTTGCCCCGTGCATAGGACTCGCCCGGTGTCTCCCCTCTCTGGAGCTCAGTGTCCCCGCCTGGAAGGGGAGCGCTGTCCGACCTCCTTGGCAGGGCTGTGCTGAGGGTCAGACAGCCCCAAGTCTGTAACACACCTGCCCATCCCGGCTGGACGTCCACGCACCTGGGAAGTGACAGCTCTTACTGTGATCTTCCCCACACCCCTCCATGTCCCTCTGGGCCGGCCCCCCAGGAGGCAGGTCAGGAGCCTGATGTCCCTTGTCAGGCAGAGCTCCCTCCCTCCTTGGGGCAGGCTGGGCTGAGTGCCTGCCTGCTCTCTGTGCCCCTTGTGGCCCGAGGGCCTTCATTTTCAGGAAGGTCAGAAGCAGTTATAAAGCTGGGCACCCCCCTCCCTTCCCCCAGCGAGTGCACTCAGAATCTCCCACCCCAACCCCCCCATGATGACTGACACCCCTCCTCTGGCCCCACCAAAGGTGCTTCTTCTTGGCTCTAATTCATCCCAAAATAAATTCCTCCTCACTCCGTAATTCAAGGAAATGGCATGTATTAGCGAGTCCCCCGATTACGTCTTTGGTGAATACCAGGGGAGAGAGGTACGCATTAGGTCACCCTTCCCGCTTCTGGCTTTGAGGAGCAGCCCTCCCCCACCCCCACCTCCGGGGCTGAGGAGGAATGCACAGCCATGGGGGACATTGTCACCCCCTCCCTTGGGAAGGGTCAAGGTCAAATGTGGCCAGGAGGGGCCATCATTATCCCTGCTTGTCCCTCCATGACAAAGTCACGGGGGTCAGCATTTGCCTGGTGTAGATTTAAAGCAGGAGACTGGAATCCATTCCCCTTCCCTGGGGCTCTCAGCCGCCCAAGCCCAAACTCCCATCAGCATCACTGTACCTGCCCCTCTGGGCCCCTCACAGCCTGGGTCCTGCCCCGCCCCAACCTTCCCTCCCTCGGTGGGCCCCCTAGCCTCCCCCCAAAGGCCATCCCACACACAGCTTTTCTGAAACAGGGCCTGCAGGGGAAGAGCCAGACTGCTAGGTGCCCTTGCGTCCTTCCATCCTCACCAGAGCCCCGAAATTTGACCTCCTCAGAGTCTGCTCTCACAGCTTCCTCCACCCACTTCCGCCCCTGACAAAATCCACTGGGGCGGGTGGCCTTCCTGTCCCCTGAGCCGCATCACCCCTCCCACGTGCCCCTCTCCCATGTACCCCATCTCGCAAATGCACCTCCTCCTCTGGGCTCTGGTCACACTGGACTCCATCTCTGGCCCCCGCGGCCCAACTTATAGTCACACTGTTAGTTAGATGCATCCATGTGGTTAGTTAGTTGGTTACTTGCCTCCTTGGATTGTCTTCTGGCTCCATGAGGAGCTGCAGGACCCCGGGCTCAGCCCACTGCAAACATCAGACGATACAGAAGCACCCCATTTCTCGCCCCCCCACTCCCAGATAAGAAGGGTGTTAAGACCCCTGTGTGAGAGCTGAACAAGGGGGGACCCCCAGGGGCCACTCCCAGCAACAACCCCTCCTTCTCTTCTTTTCGCAGACGGTCCAGCCTCGTCATCACCACCAAGATCTTCTGGGGAGGAAAGTAGGTGCCACGGGCGCTGCTCCCGGCGCAGGGGGTTCAGGTCAGGTGGCTGCAGCCCCATGTTCTGTGGAGACCCCCAATTTGGGAGGCTCCTGAGGGCAGGGAGGCAGGCAGTCATCCTAGAGAAACAGAGGGTACACAGGGTCTGTCCTGGACAGGCCAGCCTTGGCCAGGAGCCTCCCAGCAGCCAGGAGCCCCCCAGCAGCCAGGAGCCCAGGCCAGTGCAGTGTCCTCTCTCCTGGTGCCCAAAGCATCATTTCCCCAGCTGCCCTGGATGGTGACCCTCCCTACTGAGGGACGTCAAGTTCCAGAAAAGCAGCTTTGGCTGAGTTTGTTTTGTACTCAAACCTTGTTTAAATTTTATTTTTACTTTCATGGGTTTGTTATATTTTCTGATTACAAAAGTAACATCCTAAAAATTCTGGAAAACACAGAATATTTGTGAACTGTCCTAACCGTTCCACCTTCCCTAGGCCACAGACCACCCTGCCAGTCTCCAGGGGTCTGGCCCCACATTCTCTCTGGGGCTGGACGAAATCGGCTCCATAAGAATTATAAATATGACTCATTCTTAATTAAAAACAAACCCAAAAAGGCCAAACAGAAGGGCAGATTGAAAAACCGAAGCCTCCATCCCCCACTGCCGCCACACTTCCCCCAGGACAGCCAGGGGAGCAGCCCAGGCCTTCCCCCGGCCTACATGAGCGGATGCTTGTAGCCTTGTGGTTTTATCCCCAAAGTGGAATCAGACGCACAGGGCAGGAGCTGACCTACTTTTTCGCCTAACATTGCATCATAAACATTTTCCCCAAAACTGCTTGCCACATCACGCATGCTGTCGGCCTGTTTTTCAGAGCGGAGACCGAGAGGGGCCTTTCCAGGAAGCACATAATAGAAGGTGAGGGGGCTCTGGCTCCACACGGCTCCCCTAAACCCCCAGATCCTCCCCTGGATGCAGAATTGAAGAAAGTGCAGTGTCCCCACCCCACCAGTGATCCTGCACAGGACACAAGTCCTGGGGACACCGGTGCTCTGGTCTGACCCTCTCCTTCCACCCAGGCTCACACAGGGTGTTCCCTTCATGCTCAAGAGAGGGGGCAGCGGTACGGGCAGGTGGGGCCATGTCACCCTCGGATGGGCAGTGTTGTCTCCAGGGAGGACACGGACAGGCCTGGCTTTCAATCCAGGCTGAGCCTCGTGCTGACTGGTGACCTTGAGCAAAGGACGTCACTTCCCCGAGCCTCTGTGACAGCATCTGTAAAATGGGCACAGTGAGAGCACCTCCCCCCCAGGGGTACTGGGAACTGGGAAGGACCCAGGCGAGGGTGCATGTGGGACACAGCCTGCCTGGGGCTCAGCACACGGGAGCGCAGAGAGGGGTCGGCCAGGATGCCTCGATTACCCTGTATTTTTCTGTCTTCATGCTTTTCTATCCCTGTTCATTTTCATCAAGAGAATACACTCGCTCCATTAAACATCAGTTGATTAGGAGGCCTTGCTGCCCGCCCCTGGCCTCCGCAGCCCCAGCACGTCCACCCTGCAGCCCTGTTCTGACCTGTTGCTAAGTACCAGGTCACCATCTGCACATATCAGGGGCCGTTGGCCTTTGGTGCAATAGACACAGGTGCCACTCTCCCTCTGAGTCTGCTAACCTACCCTCCTGGTCACCACACAGCCACCGGAAGTTCAGGAAGGTCCCCCCTTCATTCACTCTCCGGACATTTGGCCTGTGGACCCCACCCCCACCCCTTTTGGGGTGTGCCCCCACTTCTGTTGTGGCGTTTCTCGCCTCGGGTGGTACTTGCCCATACGTGTCCCCCCGCCATCCAGCAGCTCCCGGTGCCGGGGGCCTCGTCTCTTTCGTCCCTTGCTCCCTGAGCCGCACACGGGTGAGGCTCTGTGAAGATGATGACCGACCCTCCCAATTCTCCCCCAGGTCTGAAGGCCTCCCTAGAGCGGCTGCAGTTGGACTACGTGGACGTGGTGTTTGCCAACCGCCCGGACCCCAACACGCCCATGGAAGGTAGGTTCTCTCCAGAAGCACCGACCGGTGGGCGTGGCATGCTTCCTGAGGGACGTGGAAGGTTCTGAACCTGTGGCTGTAATGGCCGCACCACAGGGCCCTGCTGGGCACCCAGGCCAGCAGTCAGAGGAGGCCAGGCCAGTGGGAGGGGAGGGCCAGGACTCCCCGGGCAGGGGCGGCCGGAGCTCAGCCTGATTGTTATCTGCCCCCCCTGCCAGGTGTGCCCTGGCACCTCCAGGCTGAGGCCGGTCCTTGCTCTGGGTCCACGCCTGATGCGCACCCACTTCCAGGTCCCATCCTGGGCTTAGAACTGTGTGGAATGTTCTCTCATCTCAGCTGCTAACATTTTGTAGCTAAATGAAGTCACAGTGTGACGACTCTTTGCAACTGCTGTGTTCTTCTCGGTCAGGTTCTGCCGGGAGGTTTGAGGTCCTTTGCTCTGGGGGACAAGCTGTTACTTAGGGGAGAGAAAACGGGCCGTGCTTTGAAAAGCGGTTTTGGTGTCTTTGGCGCTTACTTATTCTTTTGACTCCTGCGACCTCGGCCCCTCCCATCTCCCCTGACTTCCTGCTCAGGCATCTTCTCATTTGTGCTTTGCTGCTTCAGGGACTTGGAGAATTAAGTTGTGTTCAAGTTATTTTTTCTTCATTTGTTTATATATGTACCGTGCACACGGATGTGTGTATGTGTGTGTGTGTGTGTGTGTGTGTGTGTGTGGTGGTTTTTTTTTAACAAAATGTGTATTCTGTGAGAAGTGCTCTGTGCCTCCCTCCTCGTGCCCTTTGTCATACCACGCCTCTCAGTGTTCCCACAGCTATAAACTCTGGTCTCTTTAAATCTTTCTTTTATCACCAGGGGACCCATTTAGTTCCTCCAAGTCAAGGACATTCATCATAGAAGGTACACAGTACCCTGGGCCCGACTATTGACTTCTGTGTCCACGCTGCATTTTATGAGACAGTGTTTTTATTTACACAATTCTTTCCCCTCGATGACAAACTTCTCCATAAAATGCGTAAAGGAAAAATAAGTGCCCTATGGAAACATCTTGCAAGGGAAGGAGAAGCAAAGCTGTGTGCCCCGCCACCCAGTCCACGCTGTCATTTCATTCCTCCCGTCCTTCTGCGCATGCCCCCCGCCCGCCTTGCATTGCTGCGACCCCGGTGGCCGGCCGTCTGTCTGCCGGGACCCCGTCTTGATGTGGGGGTGCTGTGATCAGCGCCTGAAACCCTGACCCTGGATGGTCTGGGAGAGGGCTGGGGAGATGGTGTTCCCGCAGGAGTGAACACATCAGGGACCCCAGGACATGTGGCCCCAGCAAGTCTCATTTTCTCCATAGTTCACATTTATTAAACTCCTGCCTCAACCAGAAGCAAAAAACCCCAGCGGCAAGCAGTCCCCTCACAGCGCCTGGCTCCTCTGTGAGCACCCTGGCTGTGTGTGGTGCTCATGTCCCCTGGGCGGACTGGGCCACCTGCCACTCTCACCCCTTGCCGTGCAGCCCGACCTCTCCATCCAAATGGAATCATTCCTCCTTACGGAAAACTACATGAGCAGGGGGAACTCCGAGGCCCAGGGCAGCCTCTGGCCCTGCTTGGTCTCAGCCCACCCCTAAGCTAAGGGCCCCCAGGACCCCACAGTGAGGGCAGGCCTTGGTCTCCCTGGGAACTGGGCGGGTTCCACCATGGAAGGGCTCCTGCCTGCCAACTGGCACTGCCACCTGACCCCTCCCATGCATTATTTGTGATGCAGCAGGAGATGCTGTGGGTTTTGGCAGCAGTTGGAAGGATTCGGTCCCCCTGCCTCTGTTCAGCCACATTAAATATTGAAATGAAGGACAGTTGTCCCTAATTATCCCTGTTTCTGGGACCACGGACCTCAGGCTTGGGCAGAAGCGCAGAGTGCTGTGCTCCTGTATGTGGGCTCCACGCCCAGCCTGCCACTGCCTGGGACCCTCGGGGAACCCCGAAGCCTTTGCGCAGGACCCCTTCCCTCTCAGGCCTGCCGCAGGCTCTCAGCCCCTGCCCCGTCGGCCTTGTCCCCCAGGCGCCTGGTGGACTCCCCTCTCTGCATGGAAGGGGCGTCGCGGTGCACTGTGCAGTTGCCCTCGTCAGGAGAGAGCCGTGTGCGAGGGAGTGTGAGGGAGCCGGGCTGGAGAACGAACGGGGGTGTTCTCTGCTTCCCTCTCTCCGGCATGCGGCCCTAAGCCTTGGCTGAAAAGAATCGGGCAGTTATGCTGCATGGTCACGGGTGCCCCCAAGAGTGTTTCTAAAACACCTGACAAGGACAGCCAGGCCGGGAGCCTGGGTTAGGGGTTTGGATGTGGGCAGATATCTTCCTGGGACCCTCGAGCCTTCCATCCAGGCGCCGTTCTCCTTCACATGGACCGTGTTGGCAGTTAAAGCTGGCAGCCCGTTGGTGGTCCCAGGGGGGTTCAGGCTTCCCTCCCAGCCCTCCTCCCTTGGATGGGCAGAGAGAGGCCCAGGCCCTGACCTTGGAAGGAAGGAGAGGGCAGGGCTTGGCCTGCAGGCGTGGCAGCTGAGGGGTGGTTTTTCAGGGATGCTGGGCAACCTGCTGAGACCACCCAGAAGCCCCAGCTACCTTAGCTTTCTACTGAAAGAAGAGACCTCAGCCAAAGGGGCACCCTGGGATCCAGGCCGAGTGGGAAGTGACACCCTAAAATAGAGGTGCCACTCTCTGCGAGAGAAGGTGCCCTGGGCCTGTGCCATTCCAAAGTGGAGCTTTCAGAACAAACCCAGCATTCTCCTTCCTTCCTGCCTGCCCCCCACTCCCCACCCCAGGCATCTTCAAGGACCTCAGCTCCCCCATCTCGGTGGCAAACGAGGAGCAAGCCGCTCCGGGAGAGATGGGGACTTTCAAGGGTCAGTGTGATGCTGTGTTTTTAGAAACACTTGTTCTTCCACTCTGCTTCCTACACGGCCTCTGACAGCCGAACTTGCAAGCACTGTATGGGACCTGTGAGAAATCAGCTGCAGTAGCCCTTCACCCCCTGAAGCTAAGAGACATTTGAAATCAGAACATTTGAGGCCAAGTTCTGTTTTTGAAAAACCACAACATCCCCATGGGGCTGAAACAGCCTAGGGGGAACTATAACGGGCAGATTTTTATTTCTCAAAAGCTTTTCTGAACACTAGGAAGAATCTACCGTGGAGGTGGGGGACAGTCCCTTGTCTGATGCTGGGCTGGTTTGAGAAGCCGGGCATCCAAGCAGGGCTTTCTGTGTCTACTTCTGGCTCTCCTGGACCTGAGGGGAGCTCCTCCTGCAGCCCCCGCCCTGCCCTTTGTCCCGACAGATGCCATCATTACCTCCCCATTCAGTTCTCCAGATCCCGAGGAGAATCTGGAGTAGCTCCACGGAGGACACAAGAAACAGACAAAAATTGTGTTTACTTCCTGTTGCCTTCTGCCGATCTGACTATAACCTTAACCTGTTATCTGGTGCTTCCTGAGGACTCAGGGTCCCCGATTCTTCCGCAGACTAGAGAATCCCGCCATTCTAGAGTCTAGCATCACATTCTTTGATCTCACCTTTCCCTCATTCCGCTAATCTGCCATAAAAAGTCATAGTCCATCCATAATCCATTTTTCAAGATTCTATAAGACCTGTCACTCTTTGGGGAAACTGTTTTCAAGACCAGCCTCTCGGATTGCGGTTCACTGTTTTCTGTCATCCCAGAAAACCCCTTCCACCCCACGTCAGAGCCAGGAAGTACACTGCTTGCAAGATGTCTTTGCAGCACCCTCCCCTCCTCCCAGCGCCCTGCCTGTCTTTGCAGAGTGTCCCCAGGCTGGGCCCCGTGTCCCCAGCCGCCCTCCCACCTGCGGTTTCCCCTTCTCTCGTGACAGAGACCGTGCGCGCCATGACCCACGTCATCAACCAGGGGATGGCCATGTACTGGGGCACATCGCGCTGGAGCTCCATGGAGATCATGGTACGGTGACCTCTCGGTGTATGCGCGTCCCCAGGCCTGGGTTCCCTGCCCACTCTGTGCCTGAAGATCCCCGGCCTCTGGCAGGTTCACTGCCATTGGTCCCATCGCACAGATAACTGGGGACTGAGGAGGGACAGGATGGTGAGGTGCGGTGGTTGTCTTGCAGACGGGTCTTTGGCTTGAATCCCAGCCCTGTGTGGGATTCATCTGTGTTAAGACCAATGGCTTAACCCCTCTGAGCCTCAGTTTCCCCACCTGAAGGACAAGACTGCTGGTATGAGTTTCCTCTCGAGGCTGTTCTGAGGATCATCTGAGAGAACAGGTCCTGGAGCTCAGCCCGCGTCAGCAGCGCTAACAGTCCCCACCACTCGTGCTGAGCTCTCGTGATGTTCCAGGCACCGTTAGATTTGGGGGCTTCATGTGGACTCACTCTCATTTAATCCTCACAGTGCTCTATGAGGGAAGTGCTGCTGTCCTCCTGGTTTTCAGACGTGGAAACTGAGGCACAGAGAGGTTAAGTAACAGCCCCAACGTCACACAGCTTGTGCGGAGATCAATGCCCAGGCTGTGCAGCTCAGTGCTGGGGCTGCCTCAGAATGTGGGCCGGCTGTTGGGACCCCGGGCTTCCGTCTCATAATCCATGTTTCCCCTTCACCTGCACTTTCAGGAAAGCATCCCCTTCATTGTCACTTTCCTCCGTGGGAGCCATCAGAGGCTGAGGGTAGAAGATGTTTCCTGATATTTCTGGGGTATCCCAGAAGGGTCAGCAGGGTGGCCCTGTGCTCCTCAGGGGCAGGGGGTTGGAGGGCAGAGGCCTGGGGCTGCGTCTTCCCAGGACTGGCTCTCAGGGGGACCCACCACCCCTGCCTCCAGGCCCCGTCACAGCCTCAGCCTTCCCGTGTGCTGCCTCCCAGAATTCTCCGCATCCCAGTATCCCTGGGAGGGGGTTTCTCCTCTAGTGAGTCTCAGATTTCTGCTTCATCAAAGAAATTGAGCAGGATTTTCATTTCAAGTTAAACATAGCTCTACAGCCCCTGGTATTAATCAGCATTTGTGGCATTAATAAGCATCTGGCGTTTTTCTGAAGCTGCCTGGAGCCAGCCGTGTGCTCACTGAGGTGTCAGTGTCTTACCCCCATTTCACAGATGCGAGAGCTGAGGCTCAAGCTAAGGGGGAAAGGGCCTCTCAGCCGGCAGACAGGCTTCCCCGGGAGTCTGTCTGGAGACATCAGCCCTGGCTCATGCCCATGTGTGGGAGTGGAGGGAGAGTCTGCGGAGGAGTCGAGGCCTTGAGCTCCCAGTCCAGGAATGGGCTGATGCCAGCCACTCTCCCTCCTGACCTGGCGTTTTCTTCCACTGCTGTCATCCCGGGTCCAGGGCCCTGGAGTGATGATCATGATAAAAACAATAACAGCACCACGGGCAGGCACTGAGTGCCCCCATGTGCTGGGCACTGTCGTGAGGGCTGCAAACTCTGTTGGTCATTTGACCCTCACAGCAGATGGGGAAACTGAGGCACAGGGGGTGAGCCCTTTGCCCAAGGCCATCCGGCCAGAAAGTGCCAGAAGCCAAGTCTCACTACTGTGTTGGGCTTTCCCCAGATCCCTTCAGCCTTGGGGTCCAATGAGCCCCCCCTTTTCCTGGCCCACCGGGGTCTAACAGGCTCCCAAGGAAAGCTGGGTCGGGAGGGGGGGTGGGGGGGCCAGCCGTTTCCCAGGGGGTGCCTGGGTGTCTTCTCCCTGCTGCCCAGGCCGCCCCCCAGACCCGCTGACCGGCAGGGACCATCCGTGGCCCTCTTTGCATCCACAGGAGGCCTACTCCGTGGCCCGGCAGTTCAACCTGATCCCGCCCATCTGCGAGCAGGCCGAGTACCACATGTTCCAGCGCGAGAAGGTGGAGGTGCAGCTGCCCGAGCTCTTCCACAAGATAGGTGGGCTGCCCCGCCCCTCTCCCAGGACCCGCCCCCTCTCCCAGGACCTGCCCTCTGCCCTGCCCCACCCTCCCTGGCCCCGTCCTTTCCCTCGTCTCCCTGCCCCATCCTCCCCGCCTCTCCTTTGCTCCACCACCTCTCCCCTGCGGCACCCCCTACTCCCCTCGGGGCCCTGGGCTTGACCTCACCTGGCTTTCCTCTCCCAGGAGTGGGCGCCATGACCTGGTCCCCTTTGGCCTGTGGCATCGTTTCCGGAAAGTATGATGGTGGCATCCCACCCTACTCGAGAGCCTCCTTGAAGGTGAAGGAGCAGCTGGGCTGGGGGAGGGGACGGGCAGGGGCAAGCATTTTGGAGAGCTGGGGCCGTGGGGCAGACCACCTTGGTGCTGGGCAGGGCTTCCCTGGGCCAGTGTCGGCCGGGATGGGGGTGGGGGAACTCAGTTCCGGAGCATGGGAACTTGGAGCCCCTGCTGGCCTGCCCCCATGTCTGGAAGGGCTACCCATCCCAGGGACTGTCGTAGGTGAAGAGGCCCCTTCACTCCCCTCCCCGCTTCTGCCGCCCACCTCAGTTCAACATTCACAACCTAGGCTGGGTCCACATGCAGCATTTGGGATGTCCCCCCCTACAGATACCTCCGTTCTCTCTGGCCATCACTGAGACCTCTGGGCTGGGCTGGGGGCTGTAGAGCTTCTTCACTTGTCACTCAGAGGTGACCCTCTGGGACAAGTCCCCCTCACACACACACCCCTCTGAAGTGGGGACTCAGGAGGGGCTCCAGACTGCAGGGTTTGGAGGACGAGCAGCAGGCAGAGAAAGGCCTGCCCAGGCCAGGGCAGATCCAGCACTGGAACCCCAGCCCCGGGTTCAAGAGTAGGACGGCCTGCCCCACCCATACCTCCCCAACCCACAGCAAGGTCAGGGAGCACCCCGGGAGGCACTGCATTCCCTGCCATGGGGATCGGGGCAGGTGAGCCGGCACCCCCCAGAGCTGGGGGGAGGGGTCCTCTGGGCCAAAGGTGGCAGGCAGCACAACTCCCCAGGCCACTGGCCTCCTGGGAGAAGGGAAGGTCAGTATGTCCACCTCCCTGTCCTGGCTCAGAGGACCAGTCTCAGCTCCCCCACAGGCTGGGGGCTTTAGATGCGACAGGGCCCATGCTTCCAACTGCCCAGATCTGGCCCTCAGCGGGATGTGGTTAGTCGGAGGGTGGAGGGGATGCTGCCCTGGTACAAACCATCAGCCATCTGTCTACAGAGACCCGGGTGACCCTCCTCACCTGTGGGCTGTGTTCTCCCCCACAACCAGGGCTACCAGTGGCTGAAGGACAAGATCCTGAGTGAGGAGGGCCGGCGCCAGCAGGCCAAGCTGAAGGAGTTGCAGGCCATCGCCGAGCGCCTGGGCTGCACCCTCCCCCAGCTGGCCATAGGTAACATGGGGGGCAGGGTTGGGACCTGTGTCCCTGGGGAGGTGTCCTTGAGTGCCTGAGCCACCCCCTCCATCAGCCAGCTGTGGCTAATGGGGCTCCCACATTCATGGGGAGAGGATGGGGGCCCCTGAGCCCTTGGGCCTCCTCTCCCCCAAGGACAGTCAGTGCCAGGCCTCCCCCAGCACCCCTCCGGCCCCCCTTGGGCAAAGCCCCCACCCAGCACTGCTGAGTGCTGGGCTTGCCAGGCCCCATGACCAGGAGGCTGGGTCTGCCTGGCCCAGTCAAGGGCAGGGCAGAACCGGAAGGGGCCCCTGCAGTGGCTGGTCTCCCTCATCTGTGGTTTTGCTGCCCCAGCCTGGTGCCTGAGGAATGAGGGGGTCAGCTCCGTGCTCCTGGGCGCTTCCAGCGCGGACCAGCTGATGGAGAACATTGGAGCTATACAGGTGAGTGGGGTCCTGGGGCCAAGCTCGGGTCCCCATCAGTCATTAGTGCCGTGTGTATTTGTGGAGCACCGCCTGTGTGCGGGCACTGTTCCAGGCGCCAGGCTATGTCAGGGAGCTGCCAGAGAGCCCTGCTCTTGACGAGCTTGCTTTCTAGCCGGAACAGATAGTGAACACTAAACCTGAGAAATAAGGAAATTAGAATATGTGTTGGAGGGTGATAAGCAGTATGGGAAAAACTAGAGCAAGGTCAGGGGTGTGAGGGCAGAGGGAGGGGGGTTGTGGACCCAGGTCGAAGGGGTTGTCAGGGGAGCTTGTTGAGAGAGTGAGCACAGGCTTGAAGGGTGAGGCATGGGCTGTGCACACGCTTGGGGGACAAGGTGGGCTCGAGCCCAGAAGAGCAGTGAGGCCGGTGGGCCCGGAACGGAGTGGGTGGGGGCAGGAGGGGGCAGATCCCGCCCTCCTCTAAGGACTTGGGTGATTATTGTGAGTGAGATGGGAGCGGTCTCGAGATGCGGAGCAGAGGAGACCCATGATCCCACTTAGGTTTTAGAAGGATCCTTCTCGCTCCCACTGCTGAGTGGAGGGAAGACTTTGTAGGGAGCAGACTTTGGGGAGCAGAAAGGGAAGCAGGGATCTGCTGAGAGGGGACAACAGTCCTGAGTGGGAGGGATGGCGGTGGTTCAGAGATGAGAGAAGTGGGTAGATCCTGGATTTTGAAAAGTGGGGACCATGACTAGCTGACAAACTGGAAGAAGGTGAGGGAGAGCAGAGTCAAAGACAGCCCTGGGTTTTTGTAACCCGGAAGGTGACGTTGCTATTGGGGCTGGGAGGAGCAGTTTGGGGTCTGGAAATCAGGCGTTCTAGCCCTGAAATCTGCATTGTATGCCGTTGTCGTCCTTCCAGAAGGTTCTAGAACACTCTGGAGTTTGAGAGGGAGCATATAGACCAGGGCAGGCTTCCTCTCTGCCCCAAACCTCTGGAATACAAAAGCAGCATGGCCCCCATCTGCTTCAGTTGGAGCCTGATGTGATGAGGGCAGGACGGGTCTGGGCCAGCAGATGACTGGACTAATGTCACCCCACCTCTTCTGCGGGCCGGGCCAGGCCAGTCTTGGTGGAAATCTGATTACCTCTTGTCTTCGCACACAGGTCCTTCCAAAACTGTCGTCTTCCATTATCCACGAGATCGATAGTATTTTGGGCAATAAACCCTACAGCAAAAAGGACTACAGATCCTAAGAAGCCCCGGCCACTTGCCCGGACAGTTTCCATTTCCCTCCTAGTCTCTGTTCGCTCGCTTAAGCTGTTCTGAATCCAAGTCAAGAGTGTGGTTCGCATCAAAAAGAAAACAACGCACCAAGACGTCATCGGGAAAAGATCTCTAAGTCGCTGCAAGACTCCGTCTGCTGCTTCGCAAGACCGATGTCAGATCGTGCCAGGGAGACGGCATTGATTAGGAAGGACATTCGGTCAGTCCCACCCAAGCCCGCCGCCTCTGCTCATCCTCCAAGAAGAAACCACCACGTGTTCTCCCAGCCATGGCCCTTCTCAGAGACTCCTCAAGTCCAGGCCAAGCCGAGACCCGGTTGGGTCCTGTGGGCAGGCAGGGCTGGCCTCTCCTCTGCCAAGAACCCCCACCTGGTGTTGGGGGAGGGAAAGAGGACACCGGATCTGGCTCTTCCTGTGTCCCCCTCTGCCAGGGCCCTGGCTCTCCCCACTGGGGGTTTCCCTCTTGCCAAGGGCTCTGGGTTCATTCCACCGGGGCTGACCTCAGATTCTTCCCCAACCCCCTTCTCCACCACCACCCACCCCAGTGGGTCTCTGAGGGGCCTTCCGTTCTGTCCCTTGACACCTACCTCCTCCCTTGCTGGCAGGGGCAGGGATCCAGGGGGATTGGCTCTGCAGTTTGGGACACACAAAAAGTTTGGAGGTCTGATTTCCAGCTCATCGCCCTCATCTTCCTCCCTGCACACAATTGATGAGCCCCATCGCAGGGAGGCCCGGAGCACTTGGGAGGGGGCCTGGGGGAGCAGGCTCCAGCCCAGGTCTCTCCAGCGCCTTGCCTGCCCTCCCTGCTGGGTTCCCAGTCTATTACCCCTGTCCTTGCCCCAGAAGGCCCTGAGGTCGTGCATGCTTAGCTGGACTGTGGCTGCTGACCACACATGGGGCGGCCTGCCTCTGCTCTGCCCCAGGGTGGTGGCCTTGGGGTCTGCAGAGAGAACATGCTGAGACCCTTTCACTGAAGGAGGGTCGGGTCCCTGGGGATTTCCATGCTGCGTGCCCAGGGGCTGGGGGCCTGAACACCCAGCAGCAGCCCCCTCAATATAGGAAAAGACCCTGGGAGCCTCTCCCTGGAGAGGTGCCCCTTCGAGGCCCCGGATCCATTGGAGGCGAGGTGTTCGTCTTGGGGTGCTAAGTGTCTAGGTGCTCAGAGCTTGTGACCCGGACAGACAGGCTGCAGTGCCACCCAGGGATCCCCTTCCACACAGCCTGTGAGAGGTGAGGATGCTGGGGTTGGTCATTCCTTTCCATGCCCCACCCCAGCCTGGAGCAGATTGGGGACAGGGAGAAAGGGCATGACAGGCACAACTGTTGGCCCTTTTGCAGCCCCAGCCTGGGGCTGGCGGGGGAACCCCAGCCTCGGTGGTCCTGGTGGGTACCCTAGCCTTTGCTGGCTACATGGGGGCAGGAGCCAGGCTCTACAGATGTGCCAGCTCACTCGGTAGGGGACGCTTTGTGCCTCCTGCCCCCACCTGGGCACACCCCCCACCCTCACGCTCCCCCGTCCTGCTTTGCCCTTCATGGAAGCTGCTGTTCCGAGAGGCCCCTCCCTGTCCCCCCTGCCCTTCTCATTCTCAAAGGGCCTGCGTCCAGTCCGGCTGGGCTGAGGCCTGGGAAATGGGATCTAAAGACAGCCACAGAGGCCAGGGCGGAGGTGGAGAGGGAGAGACTTCCTCCACTCCCGACCTTTGTGCTGACCCTGGAGTCTAGAACATTCCCCCTCCTAGTAGACCAGGCCCTTGGGAGTCTTCACCAAGTCTCCTACAAGCTTCGCCCTGTAGGTGTGGGGAGGGGTCAACACCTGTGCCAGCAGAGGTCCCTGGCCTGCAGCCACTCCCCACTGTCACAGAGAGCCGTGTTCTGCTCCAAGGACATGGCCCTGCGCTGGGGGTTTCATGGCCCCCTCAGCCAGTCCCCGTGGCTGGCTGTGCTGAGGGGCCAGATCACCCACATCTCACTGGGAACAGTGGCTGGGCCCCTCCATACTGCTGCCCCCCAGCCCACCTACTGTTGGAAGAGGGACCAAGGCCTCCAGCGGGGCATGAGCCACACCTGGGAAAGCCAAGCCCCTGGTGGCCAGACATTTGCCAAACAGGGAGAAACAAGGGCCCCCAGGGTTGAGCTTGGCCAAGGCCAAAATGCCCAGAGCCAGGACCCAAGCAGCTGCCCAGCTCTGGGGCACTGTCCACAGCCTGGTTCTGAGGTGTCCTATTTTTTCACACCCACTTGCAGGGAGGACAGGGCTCTGTTTCCTGGGGGAGGGTCCCCCGACTTAGGAAGGGCCTGGAGTAGGGGAGGGGGGCTTGGCTGGAAGCCCAAGGGCAGTCAGAGCCTGGAAACGGAAGAGCCCGGCAGGGCCAGGCACTGAGGGGGTCCTAGACCTTGGCACGGGTTTGGGACCGGGCCAGTCCTCACCCTACCTGGTTGAGGGAAGCCACTGCCGCCTGCCAGCCAGCCTCTCGCCCTCTCCTTGAAGCAGAATTTGCCCTGTGAGGGCCCCTCCAGGAATGCCCACACAGGAAGCAGGCCCCGTCTGGAGGCAGGGGCGGCTCAATCTTCCTTGTTAGTGACACGTAGAGCCCCCACCATTTCTCATCCCAAATCTGTGGTCAACTCCGAGGTCTGGAGGAATGACAGAGGGGCTTGCTCCATCTCCTGTTCTCTTCCAGTCATGTAAATAATGTGCTTTTTTTCCTTCCCTTTTTTTTAATGACCGTGGTTCCTCAGCTAACTGCTTCCCTACGTAGGCAGAGATGCCACATGCCTCGTGCTTCCAAACGACACTCAGCCGAGACACAGCCACCATATTTATGGAATGACATAATAAAACCCAAGCCCATCGGGGTCTGAGGCCTCCTGCTCCTCTCATTTCCAGGATATACGGCGCTCCGGGTCAGGGCTGGTCCAGGGACAGTGGGGAGGGGAGATGGGCCCCCAAACACTGAGCCTGGGGCCAAGGGTAGGCTGGGAGACGTGGGCCCTGGGGAGAAGCAGAGATTGGGGACTGAGACCCCCCCCCTTTCTCCCAAGTGATTCAGCAATGGAGGTGCCCCCCCCCCCCAACACACCCATTCTCTGGCTGTTGGGAGGCTGCTATGCCCTCTCGGGACAGAGACATCGGGGTCCGAGGAGGCCTGCAGGCTGTCACTGGGAGCCTGGTGTTTCTCTGATGCAATGGGGTATGTGTTTAGGGGTGCAAGTGGGATGGGCAGGCACCACCCCTGCACACCGTTTCTTGGGGTGCCCCTCCACAGCGAGCCCTGCAGCCTCATGGGGCCGTGTCTTCTCAGGTGAGAGACAGCTTCGGGTGACACTCCATCACTCCTACATCCCTCCCCTGCCCCCAGCCCTCACCCCCTTCCTACACCAATGAGAATCTCAGGAAAACAGTGATTCAATCCTTTCCCAAAGGATTTATTAAAACACAGAAAACCAAGACATACACACAGTACAAAGTAAAGGGAACTGTGCCCGCTAAGTCTGTCGAGTGAGCCTCCCACACGTCCTCCTGAGGACGGACAGGTCACCACTTACAGGGGGGCTCAGCTTTCCAAGTTCCAGCCCTGGGCCGGGACCCTCCAACTTGCCCAAAGCAACCCCCACCCCCTGGCTGGCCTGAGGCTGTAGCCAGGGCAAGGGCCTGGCCCCTTCTTGGCTGGGCCAGATGCCAGCTTTGGTGGGGGGGGGGGGGGGTCCACTCCCCGACACTCCCGCACTCTGGCGCATGGGGAGCGGGACCCTCCCTTCATCTCCAGGCGTGAGCGCAGAGGAGCCGTGGGGGGTGGGGGGGCTCAAGCTCACATCTCGATGTTGGGTTCAGGACACACACACACCCAACAGGCCCTTTCTGGGTTATCGCACCTAAAAAAATACTTTGTTTAAAAAAAATCTGAAAACTAAGAAAAAAATCCAAAAACACAACGCCAATGACTTTGGGCTGATGCACCACAACCTGTAAACTTCCAGAAATATAAAATGGAGCGGGAGCCAGCTTCCTCAGTGGAGACTGTGGTGGGCACAGGAGAGCCACAGGTGTGTGTGTCAGTGGGGGACCCTAGGCCATGGCCAGGCCAAGAGCTCGGCCCCCGCCTCCCGAGCCAGGCCCTTCTGTGGCCGCTGTGCTCCTGGCACACTGTGGAGGTGTCCCTGTCCCCCAGCCCACCCTCTACAGGGCCCCCTCAGGTGCTCAAGAGCCCTGGAACAGGACACTTGGGAGCAAGGGCTACAGGTGACACGGGAGCAAGACTCAGCCAGCCCCCGACCTGGGCTGCGGAACTCCCAGAGGACCCTGGAAGGGACCCCCGACAGGCAGGAGGGCAGGCGCCTGCACCAGCTGTGGGCATCAGCAGGGCCTTGGTCACAATTTGCAGAAAACAAAGGAGCTTCTGCAGGTGGCTTGCAGGGTGGGTTTCCTCACACGGGGTCTCAGGACGTGTTTCCGTGGCAGGCATGTGCAAGGGGGGCCCTCCAGACACAGTGAGTCCAACCCAAACTCCCCTTGTCATTTGGGAGCCCAGCAGGCAATGCTTTGTGAGACCGTGGCCCAACGGTGGTTCAACAGAAAGCTACGTGGCACTGGTTTAAACAACAAGGTGGCTGGAAACAAAAACGCTGGCTGGCGCCTGGGGATTCCGCTTGCACAGAGCCACCCTCGTTCAGCCAGCAGCAGAAACCAAACCCAGCCTGAAGATGCCCGAGACGGCGGACGCCCCACTCCCTCACCACCACTTCTGGTAGGAGAAAACTGATAAACCAAAAGAAAACATTAAGATTCTTTTTCCTCTCCAAAACCAGTCAGCCGGAAATCCACTCGCCAACTGTCTGCAGCCTCCCTCCCGGGCCTCCCGGGTGCTGATCGTGGAGAGCTGAGCCCTTCCTGGACCAGGCAGTGCCAGGCCCAGGTCACCCAGGGGTGCCCAGCTCTGGCCTGAGGAGGAAGGAGAGACTGGTGAGGCCTGGAAGGGAGGCAGAGACAGAAGGACAGAGGGAGGGACCACCAGCCCTTGAAGCAGGGCAGTGGTGATGCAGACCCCTGCCCTGCCACCATGTACCTCCCAGCCTGACACTCAGGACCTGTCCTCTGTGGCCAGGGAAAGCCACCACTGTTCCAATGAGGCCAGCCACAGGGCTGGCAGCTTGTCTGGGAGGGGAGCATCACAGGGCCCTGGGCAGCAGGGGGAGCTCGTGGTGGTCACCTCGCTCGTGGCCTGAGCCAGGAGACTTTGCACGGAGGCACTGACCGGAGAACACAACACGCATGTGCAAGTGGCACTGGACGAACCACAGTGGACTGCAATGACCACGCCCTCCCTGGAAGGCGGGGTCTGCCGCTGCTGCACGCATGTCCTGGAAACCTGTGCGCCATCCCAGGATGCTCCCCACTCTGCCCACCCGCAACACCAGGATGGGGTCGGCCTCGGAGATTTTGATCAAGACTGGAGCGTGCAGACGCCAAGATGGAAGGGCCTTGGGGGTCCAGCCCTCCAGGGTTCAGAGAGCCATTTACAGATGAGGACATCAAGGCTTTGTAAGGACTGGTCAATCGCCAAGAGTCCCCAAGACATGCCCCCAAATCCCGGCCCCAGCTCTGGCCAGGGAGCTGCGCTGAGCCCCTCCTGGTACCCCCACCCCCTGCCCCAGCCCAGCTCGTCTCTCCCTCAGACAGGATTTCGTACCCAGGGCGCCTCCCCAGGATGCCCCCTGCTCAAGGCTTAGAAATCCCTTCCAGCCTGAGCTCAGGCCAGAGAGAGCATGAGACAGACAGGCCCAGGCCTGGCCCACTCCTCCTCCCCACCCAAATGGGGCCATCATAGGTACCACCAGCTGAGTGGGGGAGTCGGGATCGTGACGGGCGTCCCTGGCAGGAAACAAGGCAAGAAGCCCGGGAAGCTCTGGCCAGGAGGGCTGGAGACGCCATCCGGTCCAGTCCCCTGCCTCCAAGTGGGGCTTTCCCCAAGCCATCTGAGAACACAGCAAGGCCAGCTCATGTGGCCAGTGCCTGGATCGAGGCTTCTCCAGGGACAGGCAGACAGGGATGAGTCCAGGCCCCAGGGAGTGGCCTGGTTTCTCCACATATGCAGCCACGAGACCACACA